AAGGGCTTAAAAGGGCACATTTGGAGTCTTTTGGGACTCATGTTTTCTCATTTATTTTTTATCTTGAAATTAACAAGGAATTTCGAGGTGGCCCTCAGCCAAAAGTCGTTTGTACTGCAATTTTACACAACATATTTTTTTTTCGGATTTTTTTGATTTTTAAAAATTTTTATATGTTTTTAAATATTATGCGCTGGGATCGCCCGGGACCCTGCCCGGGCCCTGCCCGGTCCGGGCCGCCCGGGGACTAACACAGAAAAAAAGTTAAAAAAACTTAACGAAAGATTTTCCCTTTTTTTTTTTTTTTTTTTTTTGACTGTGCGAAATGCCCCGTATGTGCTATTTCAGGAAAGAGGCCACGGGTTGAGGTGAGGCAGATGCCTGAGGAAGGCCAAGCCGATGCGGGGAAGGAAGAGAAAGATAAGGGGAAGCTAGACAAAGACTATCATGGTGCCGCACTGGCCCCGAAGACGTTCTCTCAGGCCCATGTTTCTGATGAAAGCAGTGGAGATGATGAGGATGAGGAGGAGGAGGATGAAGATGATGATGGTGACGATGACAAGAGCAGTCGAGGAAAATCTGTGGAAAGCAGCTTGCGAGCTTTGGTCGGCGGAGACAGAAGAGGTTGGCTTGCTTCCGATAAACCAACGGACATTCCACTGATGCTGTTTGCTTACCAGGTGCGTTTCAAAATGAGAAGACGTTATGCTTCTCCTCATTCATTTTCAGTTTCCAGTTCACACTCTTCAGCGATAAATTTTTGATCATAATGTGCCTTTCATGTTGAAAATGTATACAAGCTATCTCTCTGGTACTATACAGTCATGATGAGGGTCGCACTTCAGCTGTTGGGGGGGAAAGAGGGTAGTGAAAAAAATGCAAGCCTTTGACTATAACTGCGGTAAGGTGTCACATTTCAAGCTGCTTGCTTGAGTGAGATAAAAAAAACACGAGTCTGTTCTAGGCTCACTGCGGATGAACCATCACTGTCTAAGGGCATATTCGCATTTGGCGCTCACAATGGCAAAATCGCAAAATCACCGGCCAGATCTAGTCCTTGGAAAAGGAAGTACTCGATCTGGCCCCCGATGTTGCGATTTTGTGGTTTTGACGGCCTACCAGTGTGAGTATTCTCTAAGGCTTTGCTCTGGCGGAACTCAGCAGATCTTTTATTGTTGGTAGATGCTAAATAGTAAATACTAAATTTTGGGTGCAGCTGTTTTGTAATGTAGCTCAGTTGGTACACCTGTGAACCGTTGAAATACAGACCCAAGTTTGAATCCAGATGCAATCAGATGCACACAACAATATAAATTTCTGAATCGCCTGGGCACGGTCAGTTAAATCATTTTAAATGGTGATTTCTCAATGGTGACATCTCAAAGCTGTCGCTCTTTTAAAAAAAAAAAAAAAAAAAAAAAAAAAGCATGTCAAGTTGCCAGCTGAGACTGGTCCTTTGGTCCTTTGAAGCCTATGCTCATACTCTGCTGGAGTGTTAACTGCGTGCTAACCAGGCAATCATAAATCTAGGTCTTGAACCTGGTCTATGTCTTGAACCTGGTCTATGTTTAGAGTCTTTAGACCGGCGTCTGGGTAGAATGACGCACAAGCATAGCCCAGGGGGGGAGGTTCACTAGGCAGATTGTATGTTTAGAGTCTTTAGACCGGCGTCTGGGTAGAATGACGCACAAGCATAGCCCAGGGGGGGAGGTTCACTAGGCAGATTGTGGGGTCCTTGAGTTGATTCTATGGTCCGAAAATGAGTATGAGGAGGTGAGCTTTCATGGTCAGCCATCTTGTGATCTGTCCCAGTCCCAGTCCCAGTCCCATTCTGTGATAGACTTGGGACAGATCACAAAAGATGGGACTGCACTGGACCAAAATGTATGCACTGTGCAGTGCCTCAAGCGGGTGAATTACGCAAATTGATGACCCTTCTCATCAGCCGTTGCAATGACTGTAACGGCTGTGGAAACAGTTGGTCCTGAATGTCCTGTGGACCTTTGAGATGAATCTTTTGAGTAGTCAGTCCTGTTTGATAAGTCGGCTTTGAGAAGATTGGGAGCTGTGAGTGATCACAGGATCGGCAGCCAATTCCAGGCCACCCAGCCCCCCAAGCAGGTGAGGAGTAACTTGGAAGGGAAGCCCTTTTTTCATCGCCTCCTTTTTTTGTGTGATTTGCACGGCGGTTTCCTGACTTTTGTGTGGACCATCCTTGTGCAGCAGGGGCTGATGAGCATTCTAAGCATGGCTGCACTGAATGCGAACAGTCATGGCAGGGCCAAAAATCAGCAATGATTCAATGAACCTGAATACACTTTCAATCACGAATGTGGTGCTGTGTGTTCCCTGTAAGAGAAGGGAGTAAAAGCGGCATGCAGGCCGTCAGTGGGTTTACAACGATTTCCTGATTTGTGCGGACCATCCTTGTGCAGGGGCTGATGAGCATTCTCAGCATGGCTACACTGAACCCGAACACTCATGGGAGGGTGAAAAATCAGTGATGAACCTGAACACATTTTTTGACAAGATTCAATCAAGAAGGTGGTGCTCTGTGCTTGCCGTAAGAGAAGGGAGTAAACGTGGCATGCAGGCTGTCAGCGGGCGATATGTTGCATGCCCCCTGTCGTGGGAGATCATGTATCTGAACGTAGTTATGGGCACATTCAATAAAAAAATGCCATGTCAATGAACGTAGTTATTGACACATTCAATGTATGTTTTCCGATTGGAATGAAGAAAGTCGTGTCGTGGTAGTGCCTCGTTGGTGGAAAAGCAAAGAACGAAACCTTCCTGATTCCTGAAAGCGACCGACTTCGCTGGGCCTTTTTTTTGTAGGGGCGGCGATGTTGAACCTGGTGAAGATAACAAAGCCGGCGCAAAACTCGATGTATTTGGACGTAGTAGTTATTGACAGATTCAATCGAAAATGCTGTCCTGTGTATACGCCGCAAGGGAGTGAAAGTCGCATGCCGGGTGTCAGTGGCAACACACAGATCAATGATAATGCTGACGACGACCCTGTGCACAAAATGGAGGCCTCTGTGGAACGAAATCCCCTAATACCTCTAGGATATGTTTGGAGTGGAAACAAATGCCCCTAGCCTGACATGACATGAATACACTGGAGTCGAAGCGAATCCCCTAGCCTGAATGCACTTGTGGTTGTGGTTGTGGTTGATTTGATGATAAAGGCGGGTGGTGTACGTACGGATGGTGTGCCATTTTCCTTCTGAATTTTTAAATTTTAGAAAAGATAAGCCCCATCTATTCGGGGGGGGCAGCAGTCTGGTTGCTTATCACCGGCAAGCAGGGTAACCGGCCGTTCGGGACGGGCCGAACGCCCGAATGTACGGGACCCCTTGGGGATGCGTTCGGCCGTTCGGACCGAACGCGGACCCAAAAAAAAAAAAAAAANTGAGCATTACATCCAAATTCCTTACCAAATTTGAAATAAAAATAAAATACAGAAAATAAAACTAATAATAAAAATAAGAAAAAATGAAAAGAGAATTAAAATTAGTGAGTGAGCCAACATGTTTTCGACACCGCCATTTTGACGATTTTTCTTTTTTTTTTTGGCACAGCCAATGCCCTGAAAATTTACAGATGTGTACTTTACATAACACAAAACCCATCAAAAAAGTTTAAAAAACTAATTAAATTTTTAGGGGCCGCACTAAAATGAAAACAAAAAATAGAAAAAAAACAAACAAACAGAATAGTAAGTGGACGAGCACGTTTTGACACCGCCATCTTTGGCGATTTTTAGTTTTTGTTTATCCAGGCAGAATGACTTCAAAATGTATAGGCATGTAGCTCACATCATAGAGAACTCACAGAAAAAATCAGAAAAAAAAACTTATTTTTAGGCCCCGAAATAATTTTTGGCGGGGGCCGAATGCCGTGGGGTTTGGACCCCGTACGGGACCCTGAACGCCCGATACGGAGGTCGGCCCGGGGACCTCCGTACGTACGGGCTGGTGACCCTGCGGGCAAGTATGAACATGAGAACAGATGGAGCATAGGAAAAAAAGGACGGCCTCATTCCCCTGTCGCCCCAGATGCGTTTACAGGGGGGGGGGCTGGGGGGCCTGCACGGCGCCGCATGCTTGTCACCGGAACGGAATGACGAGTGATTTTGTTGACCAGGTTCTCTGATTTGCGGTCTACGATTTGCGGTTTCCGGTTTGCGGTTTCCGATTTGCTGTTTCCGATTTGCGGTTATGGGTGACATAACCGCAAAACTCAGCCGCTAGAGGATCTGCAGAATTGTGTGTGAGAAAGTGTTTGGAGGTCATGAGGGACTGCGATGTATATGAAATTATGAATGCCAAGTGCTTTGCTAACAAGGTTTTCCCCCAATTCCCAATTTCCGTTTATGGCTGGTGTGTACTCTGGTGAAAGATAGCAGAATCCTCTCTTGAGCAAGTTATGGAGGTTATGGGTCTGAGTGACATGGTGCAGCTGACTGATGACATTTCTATGGCTGATGCCGTGCTCACGCTGCGATCGAGGTTGAAACAAAACTCGTGGGTTCGAGGTGCTGCGAGGGAGAGGCAGGTGCCCATCTTTGCAATTAAGGTACAACAAGGGAGAATCCCTCCTCTTCAATGTTCGAACACTACCTCTTTTTTTTTTTTTTTTTTCCTTTTTTTTTATAAAGAGAACTTAGAAAAGTAAGCTATATTCCTCTCTCAATTCTAGCTCACACTACCCACCTATATGCGGGGTAGGTGGAGCAGCCGAATGTATGTAGGACGGAAGGAAGCAGCCACCAAAGTCTACCAGACCTACCTTCTTCCCCCGAATACAACGTACTGTCATTGTAGCTGTATCTAGACTGAAAGCTGCCTCAAATACAGCTATAATGACCGTACGTTGTATTCGGGGGAAGAAGGTAGAAACTAACCCCCAGCAAGGGATAGCAGGGGGGGGCAAAGGCCTCTGGGGGGAAACCCAGGTCCCCACCAAGACCGACCAGGGGGGGACCACCTAACTCTCTCAGCTAGTGGACACCAAGCACGCTGCTTGAGGGTGTTTTTTTTTTCTGATCCGTTTTTTTTTTTTTTTTTTTTTTCTCCCTTATACCTCATCTTGTCTGGACTTACTTTTTCCATTGCCGTTGTCTCCAATCGTTCTGCTCTTCACATTGTCACTGCTGCCGGTATCCTCAGTCTCCTCAGTGCCGTACACTTGGGTGGAGATCAACCCTTCATGGGACAGCTATGGTAGACTTCCAAAGTCAAGTGACACTTGGTGGTGGACAGGATGCTCGCTTGCGGCTATGGTGGGCTTTGTGTACATCATGCTCACCTGCAGCTCTGGTGGGGTCGGTGGACGTGATGCTCACCTGCAGCTATGGTGAGCATGGTGGGTATGATGCGCAGCTGCAGCTATGGTGAGCATGGTGGGTATGATGCGCAGCTGCAGCTATGGTGGACTTCTATCTCCCTAAGTCAAGCCGAAAAATGCCCGGTCTTTATAGGTCTATTTGGTGCAACTTTCTGTCTAGATACAGCGATAATGACCGGGCGTTCTATTTGGGTGAAGACGGTAGGATGAGTTTCACATTTTCAGAAGTCTCAGTTGAAAACAATGTATCATTTACCCACAAGGCAGGTACTTCAGAATCGTAACTGTTAATAAACAGGGTGCCCCTTTATGTTAACTTCTGACACAATTAGGTCATGAGTTCAACTGACAACAACAGCTACCGTCTTCCCCCGAACGCAATGCACCCTCATTTTGGCTGTATCTGGCCGGAATTATAACTCGTATACATTCATTTTTAGGGTGTGTTATGTTCGGGGGAAGACGGTAGCTGTTAATAACTGTTAAAATTACAGTCACCTTTAGGTCTCAGTCCTGCCTCCTGACACATTCTGTGAACCGCCGTTTTTTTTTTTTTTGCTTCTGTGTCACCACAGACTTCTTTTTTTGTGTTGTCAAACCACCAGTTCGAACGAGCCCAAGTCAAGTTGACGAGGCTACTTTCCAACGCTCGCAAGCCTGCAGCTGTGCATTTTCAGAGTGAGCCTCATTGAGGCCTGCTGCACTCCCTACTGGCGTTGGGTCGAATCGAAAAGCTTTTACCATGGATACCGGTAAGAGTACTGCTTAGGTTCGTGTGAACGGGTGGTTCAAACCACCAGTACCTTTCCCAGGTATATTTGAGAGATGCGGCTCGTTGACGGCTGCAACTTTTGGGGCCGGGCCGCCTTTGATAAATTTCATGGGAGACCGTTCTCGCGTTTTGGGCCTCCGAAAGTTGCGGCGAGGGGCCCGCGGCCGATGTGTGGGCGAGGTACTGGTGGGTTAAGGGAGTAGCCCCAAACATCATTGTGTGTCATGGGCGACCGTTCTCGCATTTTGGGCCTCCGAAAGTTGCGGCGAAGGGCCCACGGCCGATGTGTGGGCGAGGTACTGGTGGGTTAAAGTAGTAGCCCCAAACATCATTGTGTTTATCCTTGAGGATCCAAACTCATGGTCTGTTTACTGACAGTTACATGTTGTGGACCATTCAGTCAAAGAGGGTTGACTGACATTCCTGTTCCTTGCTCGGTCCCCCCCGTTCCCCCCCTACCCCCCCCTCCCCTTTCTTTGTCCTCACACAGATTCTAGGGCACGGGAGCGAGTGAAGGCTTGCTGTCCAATCCACCGTCCACCTGCTGACATCTTTTGTGTCAGCGAATGTGCGTCCGCTTGCTGATTTCTTCTCTGTCAGACAATGGCTTGCTATTCAAGATATCTATCTTCATGATATGGACGGCTTGCTTGCCTGCTCTTGTCAGACTCATTCATTCATCACTGTAAACCTATGTGTAGTTAACTGTTAAACCGAGGTGTCATTAACTCTTAGTTCTTATGGTTTAGTGTGCACACAATGAACTCAACAGAACTTCATTCTTCGCTATAAACCTACAGTAGGTGTAGTTAACTCTTGCACCCAGGTATAGTTAACCCTTATCGTATGACCCCTAAGGTAACGTGCATGGCCAGTGACCGAGCTGTTTGGTGTCCTCAGAGACTTTAGGGGAGAGAGAATTCACTCAAATAGCATTGCAAAACATGAACTCTACACACAACCTCATTCTTCGCTGTAAACCTTGCTCTAGTTCACTCTTACTAACTGTTAAACCCAGGCATAGTTAAACCCTACCGTAGTTAACTTTTTTCACTCCTTCTAACTGTTAAACCCAGGTGCAGTTAAACCCAACCGTAGTTAACTCTTTGTGTCTATGGTTCAGTACGAGTGTTCGATCCCTCTATCTGTGGCGATCGCTGTAAATGCCGGTGTAGTTAACTCTGTGCAGGTGTAGTTAACTCTGAGGAGTTCTGAACCGGCTTCAGCACCAATGTTTGATTCCTGAACCCGCGACAATTCTAAATCTACCGCGCATGATGGTGATCTACATCTATTTGCATCTTCTATTTGACAAACATTCTGCACCCTGCAGAGATCTCTGCAGCCACATTTGTGGTGTTTATCATAGTAGGATGACAGTACAAATTACTAAATTAGTAAATTACAAACTCTTTTTTTTTTTTTGTTGTTGAAATTGGGGGTCGAGCCCACTAGAGAGGGTGTGATATGAGCACCTCCTTCTAGTTGGCCTGTGCCTGGATGCTCCGGTCTATTGGTGGGTAGCGGCACCTGGTGGAAACCGGGGCCAGCGTCCCATGGTACAATCTTTCCAACCTCTACTGTGGGGCCAACAAACTACAAGCTGCCATCTTTCATAGCTCAGTTTAACATCACATGTACCGGCAAGCTGAAGTGTATCTGAAGGAAGTGCAAGCCTGCACTCTACATGACCACTCACCGCCGTCAACCAGATGCAAAGCACCGAAAAAAAATGCAAGGTTGGTATCGACCTTTCTCAATATCCTTTTGGAACAAACTTCAACAAAGTGTAATTTTAATAATTCTTATCGGATAATCGGATGTGGACCATGTGGTTATGAATCTAGTAAACGGTTCATGGTCACTTGTCAGATGTCAAGTGATGAAACCCCAGTGCTGCGACACCCTTGCTCAGCAAGCATGAATCTTGTCACGAAACATGCCAGGATGATACTAAAGCAAGCACGAATGTGGTCATGAAAGTGGCTCGATTCATGCAAACGTATCATGACCAGTTGGACTCCATTGATCTAAACTTTCCATTTGGTAATCTGTCTCTGCTTAGTTTTTTTGCTTAGCTTTATCCATTTTCTTTCTTTCTTTCTTTCTTGTTGTTGTTTAAAAAAAAAGAAAAAAGCCGTCACCTCACCTTTTTTTTAATACCATTTACAAAACTGGAAACTGGGTCCAGCACCCCTTACATCAGAAACGCACTCAACGCCTCCCTTCTTTATGGCCAAAGGGATCTGATACAGCAGCATCATTGATTGCTTTCGTTCACGGGAAGGACGTACTACTGCCACCCCTGCTCCCTTTCCCAGCCTTTGGGATTGCCCACCTACTCTGGAGAACTGTTAGAATAGTACCTCTCCGTCCACTTGTGCGAACTGCCAGGGAAAAACAAAAAACAGTACCAATCAGGACTCCTCAGACCATTCCCTGATCTTGCCCTTTCTCGTGCTATTGTCTACTGTACGTTGCTGTTGAGTCGGAGATTCTTTCTTGCCCCTTATTGTTCTCCACCCATGTAATCCTCCCTCTCCTTCATTCGATCCCATCTCTCTGTCCCAGATTCACACCAATCATGCCACGGGACATTTTGGTTTCAAGAAGACTGCAGCCAATCTGTTGCAGCGGTTCTGGTGGCCCACGATGATGAGAGATGCCAAACTGTATGTCGAGACTTGTCAAGTTTGTCAACGTGACAAGCCCCGAACACAGGCTCCTCTTGGGCTGCTCAAGCCCCTTCCCATTCCGGAAAGGCCTGGTGAAAGCTTGTCCATGGACTTCATGGATACGCTAGTCACCAGCAAGAGTGGCATGAGGTACACCTACGTCATCGTGGATAGATTTAGTAAGTATGCTAGGTTAGTGGCCATGCCGGAAACAGCAAAGACCGAGTATGTTATCAAGCTATTTAAAGAAAACTGGGTCAGAGACTTTGGCCTGCCGAAGTCTATAATCAGCGACAGGGATGTCCGATTCACCAGTGAACTGTGGAAGGCCGCAGCTGCCGAACAAGGATCGCAGCTGCAGATGACATCTGGAAACCATCCAGAGGCAAACGGACAGGCAGAGCAAATGAACCGCGCTGTTCAACACTTGCTAAGGCACTACATTAAGCCTAATCAAGTGGACTGGGATGAGAAGCTTGCTCTCATCGCCAGCCTGTACAACAACGCAGTTCATAGTGCCACGGGAGTAAGTCCTAACAGCCTACTTCTAACGTTCAAAGCCAGACTCCCCCTTGTCTTTCTGCTACCTGAGAACCAGCCTACTGCTGCTCCAGGCACTTTGGAATTCGCTTATAGATATGAGAGCCATATGCAGCAGGCAGTAGAACACGTGCACAAAGCACACGAGGCAATGATCGAATCTGAGAACAAGCACCGCCACCCATTTATGTTTCAGGTAGGGGACAGGGTCTGGGTCAAGGCTTCGGAACTGGGACAGGAGC